TAGTGGTGATGCGTGGAGTTTGCCTTAGTTTCAAACGTGTCCGACAAAGACGGAAGCGACTGTGGGACGTGGAACTACGTCAAATCTGCTCAACAGCCAAGATCATGGCACGGGATCGAAGTAAGTTCGTGTTTTGTTCGTTTGGGCTAGATTATTTCCTGCGTTCAAAAGGCTTGTTATTGTCTGTAGATCGCTTACTTTTACCAGTATTACTAATTGTGCGCGAATGGTGTTATGCCAGGCTGTTTTTCTTTTTTCCCCGATGCAGAGGCCGTCTACTCGCTTAAGGTCGATCAGTCGCGGCGGAACTCTTTGGGAGACGGATTGAAAGGTGTGTGTGTGGGGGGGGGGGGGGGGGGGCTGATTTCCTCCCTTCGCCGTATATTTTACTGGTAAGCTACAATGTTTGGAAGAGCGCGGTGCCCCTCCATCGCCGACGCCACTCTCCGTACTTGCGTGCTGAGAGCTGGACCCGACAAAAACAGCGAATGATTGATCGAGCAAGTCCGTAGCTTTCGCCGCCCCAGTCGTCTGCGGACGCCTTCATTTTCGCAGTTTGTACCCAGAAAAAAAATTGCCAAAAATTGGTGCCGCGTTGAATTTACCCCATGATGTTTAATGCAGAGCATACTACTTCCGATCGCAAAAATTTGTGCTTGCGAAATAATTTTTGACGCTGGCATTTATTCCTCGCGAAATGTCGAGCTCTAAAGATCATTTGCTGTACACGTGTTTGGTATGATCCAACGCACGTGTAACGAATTTCACACCGCCAGAAACACTTTTTTTCTGCACTCTGATCTCCACGAGATCACAATACCAATGTTTCTGTTGTTGTGGCACGGCAGAGTCTATACTTGTTTTGCTCGAGTCTTTATAAGGGGGACGCTGTAATCCGATTCTACTCAATTATTGTGTACTAGATAGCGCTATATTTGCAGAGCTATCTTCTTTTTTTGTAGTTGCATCGAAATATATTTCAGCTTTTAAGTTACTTGTTATTTAGCATGTAAATTTACAAGCTTATCTACATTGAAGGCAGCAAATATCTTGCCAGCACTCATGCTACGTCTTTGAAGTATATTGCGTTAGCATAATTGACCAACCTTTGATTTTTATTTGTCAGTGCCTCAAGGGAAGCAAGGAGAAGGAGTGGATCCCTGCCCCTGCCCGTTTTGATCTGGATGAACATCGTACCGGCGTGCGGTTGTGTATCACTACTGCGTGGTGCGCGTTAAAGACCCCAGGCTAGCAGTTGTACCGTGCTGGCTAAATTACTCTACAGCTGAGACAGCAGACGCCCACTGAGGCAAGCTAACTTCCGACTGTATAAACATACACACAATTTTTTTTTCAGAAGGAGTGGGATTATGTAGAGAAGCTAGTGGGTTTTTCTGTGGGTACGAAGCTGTCGGAAGTAAGGTCAGAATGGAAAAAGCACCGCAAAGTTCCGCCTGGTCCCAAACAGCCACAATAATGAACACGGAATTCAGAAGAATAGTAATACGAAGGACTTACGCAGGCAGCCACACTTTCTGAGTTCGCAATGACATTTGATTATGATCACAAATATTCCTGCTTTGCTCAAGGTGGCCTAGTTTACACAACATATTGGTGATCTATAGTGCAGCAAGAATATTTTTCCTCAGAATTAAACGTCGTTGTTCACTGAACAAATGTAGCTGTCTGTGTAAGTCCTTCGTGTTTTTATTCTTTTTACTTCTGTGTTCATTATTTCATTTTTTTTCATGATTTTGTCGTTTTGTTTTTGTTTCTTATGTGTTCATTATTTTATTTTTTATTTTTATGAGATTTTAGTTAAAAATATGATGCCCTCGTCATTTCCTAGTCCGGGAAACAGTGGTGACCTCGTCGTGTTCAAGGAGCAGTAACGACCTTTTCATCTTGTATAGCTTCCGCGGCGAACAACGGTGTCTGTGTGCGTGTGTGATGTGTTAATCACACGGGAATATTTGACGACCGAACGGAAAAACAAGGCCAGCGAGGAGCGACTGGGGGCTTTGAACATCACACGGTGCAAGGAAGGACTTCAACGACGAGGCTAGCAAGCAAGCCCTTGTCAAAACTGCTGTGCTCGACCGGAGAGTTGAATCAGGACTATGACTCTGTCAGTAAGAATCAACGACTTTGGAACTTCCGTATAGTTTACAGCTTAAATGTTGCCTTCCGTTTGTTTTATTTTAATAGGTGTCTGTGTGCTGATACATTTTTAGTTTATTGTAATGGTTGTCTGTGTGATATTACAGTTTTGTTCCTTATAATATTTTTTCTTGAACAGGTAAGTGCTTGTTTGGAGTTTTCACGCTTTCTTGTATAAAACTTCTTTTGCAAACCATACTCTCGGTCTCCTCTCTCGACAACCAATCCCGCCAAAGGCCTGTGACTTTCGACATATCGAATGATATGTTACAATGTTTTCTAACTAGCGATCGCCTACATTCTATCTTTTTAGCATACATATTTGTTGAATGACAAATTCCGAACCAGGCCAATAAAGATTGGTCAGTGGACTATTCTGTAGATATATCTACGTGAACACGCGTTTGGGGCAGTGTGGGATAGCAGTACGATGTATATTTTGTGGATACTCATAGAAAGGCGTTATATGATCCCATGTCTGGACCTGGAAATTATGGTAACTGTCCCATGGGAATAATTTGTATATGATGCCAGAAGGAGCATCACATGAAAATTGCTTTATATGGGGTGGGTGTCCTATCTACCAGACCCAAACACGGGATCATATAAAGCAGTCTATATATGGTATATAAGGAATTGGGCAGATATGAATATATAAGGAATTGGGCAGATATGGGTATATAAGGAATTGGGCAGATATGGCTATATCCATCCAGATAGGGCCTGATTGTGCATATCTGTCCATATCTGCCCAATTCCTTATATATCCATATCTGTATTTTTTAATATAAGTCCAGATATGACATTTCTGTAAGGGTGGCTTTCGTTCCGTTCTGCGAAAATCAATTCGCAGAATTGATTTTCGCAGAATTTTTTTTTACATGCCGATGCGTAAAACAATTTACGTCACAACAGTTATTTCATCAGGTTGCGGGCGTAAATTTTGCTCAATCGTCCACCCTACGCTGTAAGATATCGTGTTGATTTTAAGGCATTATTAATGTCAAGAAATATTAATTCCGTGAGTGGTCTGAGAATGTCAGAGCGCTCTGAAGCCAGCAGTTGTGATCGGCTAAAAAGGATCCCGAGTAGCTCTGGCGGCAAGGAGGGGGCGCTCTGCTGAATCGAGGTCAGAGGAGAGAGGCGACCACCCGAGGTCACCAAAAATAACTGCAAAGGAATCGCACGGCAAACGGTTCCCCGCCACACACGTCCTCTGCTCCGCGCAAAAAGAAAAAAAGAGAAAAAAAGAAAACGGAGGGGAAAAAGCAAAGCGGCACGGTCGGGTGTAGCCACGTCACTTCCGCCACTCACTCTCTCCTCTCCAGTTCTCCGGCCTCCGTTCGCAGGTTTTGGTTTCGGATTCGAGCAGTTGCGTTTTTTGGCCTTATTAAAGATATGCGTAACCTGTCGCAAAATATTAATTGGGTAGTCTTCCGACAACCATAATAGATTGCCTGGCAAAAAAAATTAAAAAAAAAGCTTTTGACGTTGTCAGTGTCCCTTTAATGTCTAGATTGACGGCTAGTACGCCCGTTATTTGGCGATGCCACACTCTTCATGTTATTATACTTTTCTTTTCTGTCACGCAGTTGTGTGGTATTGGTGGTTGAATGTGTGTTCTCTGTGTTCCGGAACGATTTACTGCTCGACTGAAGCTTTCAGAACGTAAACTGCCGTGAACATACGGTGTAATGCTTTTCATTATTGTAATAAAGTAAAAAGAAGACAGCTTTGTAGGACAATTCGATAAGAATAGCTTCCAAGCACGGCACGCGTAAAAGTCCTACCCTTTCAAAAATGCGTCCTTAACCACCTTTTAAGTTGGGAACATGAGCGTACGAAATAAGCAAAGTTCTGGTTCTGTTACCGTTTTTTTAAGGTTAGAGGTTGTGGATGCGTCAAAGGGGTGCGAGGCGTGTGCAGAGGAGTACCACCGCGAAACCACCACCCCGCAAACAATCAGAGTCGGCGCTATGGCGGGTTCGATTCCTGGCTGCACCCGCTAACCGGAACTCACGGAGAGAGTGATCAACGGGCACGCAGAAGAGGGGGACACTCGGGGGTGTCTTGACTTCGGTTAGATACAGACAGAGTCACTTTATTAACGTCAAGGTGGAGATTGTCCTTACTCCGTCGTACTTTCGCCTAATGGCAGGTGGGTCAGCAGAGTGCGAGACCGCATGTACCAACAGTTTCAAGTCGTGCCGAACAGTCCCCTGAGAAAGTCCTGAGGACGTGCTCTCTCTCCCTCGCTGACGGCTCCAGCCTCGCACCCCGAGAGGCGACCCCGCCAGAGGAAATTTCCCTTTGTCCACCTCGTACGGGAGGAAGATGGGCAGAGGAGTGGTGAGAGTAGACCACCAGAATGGCTGCCGGTCGGCAGCCAGGCGGCTTCAGACTTGCGCAAGCGGCCCTAAGGCCGGATCAGGGAATGAGAACCCGGGGCTCTCAAATATCGTCGATTTCCTTGCAAAATGTTTCAATAAGTTCATGCAACCCTCTCAAAGCATGTAAAAAGTGTTTTTTTAAGTTTCAATCATGTTTTAGTTTGTTCGTACACACGCAGTGACGTCCACATACGATGTTGAACAAGCCCGTCAAAAGAAATGAGGATTACGTGGACTTGACTTGCAATCTTAAACCCTGGTCGAGAACTGTCCTGTTTTTTTCCCTTTCCATACTGGACACAATCATTGCCGCGTTAAACATTACGAGGCTTCTATAGTATGTATACATCCTACACGCCATGCGTTATCAGTGCGTGCCTCTGCTAGCAAAGGCAACACTTCATATATTACTATTGGAATCATCATGAAATAAAGTTTGTTCTAAAGATACGTGTGAGTACAGACGCCATGTAGCGCCTAAAGACTAACAGCCATGTTCTCGGCTTTGCTATAGAACGTGCTCTAGATGCGAAGATAACTAACTGGTTGGGCTGAGCCTTACGGGCCGCTCAGTGACAGCGCCTGTCCTGACATTGACCTCTAAAGTGTCCAAAGGTACTTTATAATACTTCACGTTGCTTTACATGTCTGTATGTGCCTCTCGGTTTACCTTCTGAGTGTGAAAACGAAAGAGATTAACGGAGACGCTACAACCCGTGGGCGTAATCTTGAAGCTCTCCATCAGCCTTGACGACAGTTCGCTTCTCATGATCGACGTCTCCTTCTCTGTTGTGCCCGCCTTCACCGTAACGACAGGAACAACCAACGCTGCATGAAAAGTAAACAGCGGTAGTAAAACACTTGGTCGTTATTAATACAGCAAAAATATTCGTTCTTGATTTCATCATTCAAACCGCACTCTATATGGTTGTGTTTGATAGTGACGACTTTTTTGCTGCCCATTACCCTCCTTTGAGTTGGAACAATTTGAGACCGTCTCGGCTGCGTGTTTTTTTTCTTTCCAAATTAAAACTCTACATTTTGTTACCATCACAAGTCATCGGAAGCACTGCGATCAACTAGTTTCCAGATCGCAGCCATTGTAATAATAATCTAGCTATTAGGTTGTGCACTCGAAGCGGTGAAACATACTGCACCCTTACCCGAGAAGGGAACATTCATCCCAATTTTGCTTCCTATATTCAGTCCTTTATTTATAACTACTGCACTCCTTTGCCAGGGTTTCTTTGCTCCTCAAACTCGCTTTAATACAAGTTAAATACGCAGGCGATGACATTGTAAAGTGTCACAATAAGCTTTATCAGACGATCACCATATACCATATTTACCAAAATGAAACTTACCTAAGTCATATTGGGTGCGCTGTAAAAAATTAGGGATTCCATGCACATGTCTATTGTATATTATTGCAGAAGAGACGAGGAGCCACAAAAAAAAGGAAACAGTATCCTCGTGTGAAATACGTCTCATTCCCTATTTCGAAGTCCAGCAGTATTCCACAGAACAAAATGAATGCACTCTGGTTAACTGTATTCCGGCATTATTCGCTGTCCTTCAGTAAACTGACTGTCTGACATGCACAATCATCGGCATATTTCTAATTGTTTCCCCTGTCAGAGATGTCAAAAACTCCATGTACTACAACGATACGAAATATTTAAAACAGACAACTGTGAGTTAGTGTTATTTTTGCTGACACCTAGAGAGTTTGTTATTAAAAAGATTTATGAAAATATTGTAATTATAATGTTAATTACATGAAATTAGTTAATCACCTATTTAAACCGAATGTTATTCATTTTTCAGAATAAGCCATTGGGCAGACGCCAATGCGGCGTCTACCTTTTTCACTGAGAAGCGTACTTTTCCCAGGAATGATATGACTTGCGTTTGGAGAAACACTTTGTACTATCACGGCCAATATGAGCTTAAACGCTTCTTTGCATGGCGCGCGGTAATATCAAAGACGCCTAACTCATTTTTCTGCAAAATTTGTTGCAAGCTGAGGTCAACACAATTCCCCTCCGACGTTCCGGGTGACACACTGCACTCCCGTCTTTAGGGGACGCCACATCCCGTAGTCTTGTTAAAAATAAAACGCAAACAACAAGGAAAGGAAGAGTGGCAGAGCGCCCTGTCCTGTCCTCTCTTCTTTTCCTTGGCATTTGGGCTTTTTTTTTTATTTTAACAATGTATATCCAACTAGCCCGACGGTTAATTTTGATCCCGCAGTCTTTTTGAAACGTTAAACCCTACGCATGACAGAGCATAAATATATCGCGAACTTCTCGAAATAATTTCAGTATATTCCCGACTTATAATCATGCAAGGAGCAGTCCCCAGTTGAGTCGCTCAGACACAGGTGTTACTGCCTCTGCCAGAGACTTGTTCCGAGAATTCCAGACGCCTGATAGACCCGTGTCTGACATCTGAGCAGTGAAGAGTATTAGACAAGTGCAATTGTATAGATAAGGTTGCTATCGGCTGTCAATATCACCATTCACGCCTAGTGAAAGGAAGATCGACTAGAAAATGCACTACACAAAAGGCTTTCTCAAGCAACGAAGGACAAGCCCGGCGATCCAAGCATTCATCAAGACCGTTTCGCCACAACTGTAAATTGCCGTCTTAACAGAAAACGACAAGAAAACGCAGAACAAAGTACCAAACGACGAATGGGAATTCTCTTAGCCTCAGTGTGCTACATAACTTTTTTAATGAAACAGACGCATCGAAGAATCGCACGCACCCGATCGATCAGCGCTTCAGCTCTGTAAAAAATGTTACTCCATAAGCAGGTCACCTTAAATTTCTAGTTATATCAAATCACATACACTTCTCCTATAGTGAGAAATCACAAAATTGCCTAGCTACAAAACTCAAATTTGTGTGAGCTTTCAGCATCGAGTAAAATAAAAAAATGACGTTTCTTTTTTTTTTTTTAATTACGATGTTAGGGAAATATCGGAACGCTCAAACGCACGCAATTATATCTTTTAAAAACGAGGCTATGTTTCACCGCTTCAGACTCTCGAATTGCAGGGATATTGAATTACGAGAATTTAGAGGCTTTTCTACTTGTGATTGCCACAAATATTCATGTTGGTCGAAAAAAACGCTTTCGTTTACGATGGAGCCGTACTTCACTTGAGATCTGGCGTACTGGACATCGGCATGTTTTCTAGTGATACACAGTTAATGATCTAAAATAACGAAGTGGCGTAACTCTGCACAGCAATAAATGTCCTCTCTGTACATTTTGTAAGCTTTCCCATTAGAACGAGATATAACTTGCCGAGAACTTCTGCTTCGCTGCCGAAGTAAGCTTCACTTGGGCAAACCTCGCAGACGAGGGTTGTCATTCCTGAGTTGATAATCAGATTCCGCAAAGAATTCTCGAGGTCGCTCAGGCTTGGCAACGGATCGCGATGCCAGATATCGGCAAAGAAGTCTTTGGGGTCCTGTTCCGAAAAACAAAAAGACACATGTTCAGCTTAATTTGCATTCACGGGCATATCATTAAACATTTATACTTTGATTTAAGATGGTTCACAATGAAATAAAAACATACAAAGCGCTAACTAGTCACGTTTGAAAGAAGGTGTACACACAATCCAAAAAGGAGCTGCATGTGCATTTTCCGTAGACAATGTATAGCTAGCGATTTTGATATTTTTTCAAGCATAATTTCATACTCACACAAAGGATGCCCTTCCAGCGTTCCATTCCGGCCATCTCGAGCCATACCCGGTACAAGAAAAATGGAGCGGAGAACAAAAGCAGACATTCGCCATCCTGTTTCAAAAGCCTACCAATATGTTTGAAAGCCGCCTCCTGGTCTCTGATCCAGTGCAAACAGAAGAAGGAGTAAATCCGGTCAAACTTTCCGTGCTTGTTCAGAAATAGGGAAAGGTCCGTCGTGGTTACGTCGAGGACCTCGTAGCTGATTTGCGAATGTCCGTGATTTCTTCTCGCGTAGTCTACCATGGCTGATGATACGTCAACAGCTACAATCTTGCTGCACGAATGATGACTGGGCAGTAGCACATCCCTTGTGAAGTCCCCCGTCCCGCAACCAACGTCAAGGATCTGTTCACACTGGGCAGCAGGTTTTTGAAAGATAGTCTTCGTCAATGCGGCGAGGTTCTCCTTTTTCATCCAGTCATTGCCTTGTACGTAAGCGTCTGGATAAATATTCGCCATCACGGTAGTTCGCCCAAAATCTAGTCTAACTTGTAAGTTCACTTTCGCCGCTTAGGACGCTCCAGTTTACTTCTCCCACAAGTTGCCAGAAAGATATGCGACAAGCTTTCTCGGATGCAAAGTGGTTTTGGAACCTTTGTACCACGGCGTCCACTACAACACATTTTACTATCTCTTATCTGATACGTTCTAAGTATTGAGATTACGGATGGCGTCACTTTATCTTGCTGACGATAAAGATACGCCTACCTGGAAGTGTGCCGGCCCCTTCGCTGGAAAAACAAGGTTTTCACGTGCGAAACCATGTCGAATATTCGTCGTCTGTATTGCGTTGTGTTCAGCGACCTGGATTGATTAAGAGATATATCTTGAAAGCTGGGGAATCTGCCCCGCGAGCAACATCAATTTGTTCTCATATAATACCCGGCAAGCATGCTGACTCACTCATTCCGGATTGTAAATGTGTTTCTATATTTTCAACTTCTGCTCTAGATATCCTCTTTGAAGAAAAGAAAAACAGTGTCACTGATAATGAAGAAATGCACTAAATATAACAAATGCAATTTAATCTGTTTTGTATTTTATGTCAGCGAAAACACACACAATGTCATATTCTTCATGGAGTGGAATAAAATATATCGTATTCCGGCATGAACCCACATCTACCTATGAGCGGTCAAACCGACAGCGGGGGAGACATTTTTTAGAGATCACTCTTTTCTTACATGTACTTTTGGCTGCTGCTGCTGCTGTCCGACAAAAGCTTATCGGCTGAAAAGAACGCGCAGGGTTGCGAAGCTGAACGAACATCCTTTAAAAACACACAGTAAACAAACTGCCTGTCATTCAAAAGTGTCCAGTGACGAGAACTCTAACCAAGTGTTTCATCGACCACTCAGCAATCCTGGTGGATTGCTGATTGGTCCAATGTCCATGCTCCTTAGCCCTAAAACAGCGTCGTTACCGTCTCTTCGTTTTCCCGCTCTCCCCTTTCGTTCCCCGCGTTTTAGCGAGTGCGTACCGGTCTTCACGCACGGGTGAGAGGTACTAAAATGCGGCGTTGGCGATGAACTTCAGTGCTTTGAAGCGTTGCCGATGAACCAATGCGGCAATAAATGTCTGCGCCATACTCGCAAGACTGAAAGCGTGGCAGCAATAACAGTGGCGACGGCACAGAGAACCTATTACGCCGAATCGCTGCGCGTCGGAAAATTGAAGCAGACATCCACATCAACCTTCAGGGTTAGAATATAATAAATGCGCGGATCACCCGTCAGGAAGCAAGGCGACAGTGAAGAAGACATGTTTCAGATACCTCTCTTTGCTTACATGCTGGTATGCGAGACTTCTGATGATTATTTTTTTCGCTCAAACAATGGTTGCTACAGCCGTTGCCGTTGGGATTCACGTGTACTGATAAGGGGCTGGGATGTCAAAAAGAATTCATATCCGATCACATGGTAGGATATATTTGAATTCTAGAAACATATGACTGCTTGCATATCACAATTATCTGAAACTAACAAATGCCTTAATAAAAGACTGGGTGCTACTGAAGCATCTATATCTAAAATTGATATTTTCACTGCAACAATTATCGACGCACAATGGGCATTAGCCCGTTGAGAATTGACCACGGTAAAGCTTGAAACAAAAGTTTCTGATCTGAGAAACAGGAGTAGACGAAGTAATTTAGAAACCAACAGATTAGTAGAATCTGAGAAAGTCAGAGTAATATATAATGAAAAAAGTAGTTCAACGACTCCGGAAACAACATTGAGGTTCGAAGTTGCAGCCATGGAGAGGATTCACCGTCTTCAGAAAATGTCTACTAACAAGTCACGGCCAATAATCATGTACTTTGAAAATTACAACTAAGAACAAGACGTTCTTAGAAATTTATTTTTTTATTTATTTATTTCAATTGACCTTCAAGGCCCCCCAATGAGGGTATTACAGAAGTTTTAACCACTCGCGTTTGTATAATTAGTAAAAAAACGAACAATAGAAATAAAATGACACAATATAGTACACATGGGTAAACTGAAATCAGTGAAAAGCAAAACATCGTAAAGACACTTTCGTTTTCTTTATTTCCTCTTTTTCGACTATGAGGAATCGGTGAGAATGACTTCGCTCAATTCCTCTTTGAAATGAAGAGGATAAGATATAGAAACGATGCTGCCGTGACGGTCATTTCATTCTTTCGCTGCGCGTCGGAAAATTGAAGCAGTCTAGGTCACTGTCCTAGTTTTGGTGCGCATAACGTTGAGTGGACGATCGGTACGATGAGTTCGTGTGGATGGCATGATGTACGGTGAACCTGGCTGGAAATCGTAATATAATTTCTAAAAGAGTGTTAGCGTAAAATATTTTAGGCGAAGTGACCTTGCTGAGCACGTTTATTTAGGCCGGTGACACTTATTTCATATGAATAGCTAGAAAAAATGAACCTGACTGCACGAGTTTGAATTGCTTCCATTTGATGACTGAAGTGATTTTGGGATGGGTCCCATATAGCGGCAGCGTACTTTAGCTTTGGGTGAATTAGTGCTTTATAAATGGCAAGTGTTAAGTTTAATAGTGGGAGTTTGAGGTGATGTTTTAGTTGTCCGAGTGATCTGTTAGATTCAGAGACGACATGCTTAACATGCAGTTCCCAAGATATGTTACTAGCGATGTGCACACCTAGGTTTTTAGCCTAGGATTTTATAGCCTAGTGCTGATAGAATTACAGTTTTATATATATAATAGTTGCCGGTCGGTTGGCTAGAGCGCCGATGAAAGGAAATGAATGTGCATCTACTAATGTTTAATGAAATTTCCCACAGATCGCACCAGTTTTGAACACTATTAAGATAATTTTTAAGAGGTACCTGGTAACCTATATTAGTAATGTTACGATATACAACACTATCGTCAGCAAATAGGCGGATGCTACAGAAAACCGAAAAGGGAAGTTCAATAATGTAAATAGGAAACAGAAGGGAACCCAAAACGGTGCTCTGGGGACGCCGGAGGTTACAGATACGTAGTTTGATTAGTGGTTACTGACGTTTACGAGTTGTTTCCGATCCTGCAGGAAATTACCAATCTGTTTCAGTATCTGCGGGTCTGAGTTAAGTTGGGAAAGTTTGAGCATTAGGCGTTGATGAGGAACCTTGTCAAATGTTTTTGCAAGATGTAAGAAAATGAGATTGGTTTGTATGTTGTTATTGAGGTTCGTGTGCATGTCATGGGCAAGTATGGCATGTTGAGTTTCGCATGAGAATCCTTTTTTTGGAATCCATGTAGCGATGTATGAATAAAATTATTAGTTTCAAGGAAACGCGCAGTGTGAGAGTAAATAATATGTTCCATAGTTTTGGATGATGCGCAAGTAAGCGAAGTGGGACAGTAGTTATGTCGTAAGCACCGGTCCCCTTCTTGAAGATAGGAATGACCTTCCCCACTTTCCTATCCTGTGTAATTAGGCCGGACGAATATCTTTGAGAGCAAAGCGCTGCAGATATTTTTAGTGTTTTTCAGAACATGGAATTAATTTCGTCAATACCCATTGAGGAGGAACGTTTCTTTGTTATGTTAACAATACCAGTGGGAGCGAAAGTAATCGGATCCGTCATTGGATACTGAGCGCTGATGATGGAAGGGAGTGTGTCAAGATTTTCTTTAGTAAATATTGTCACGAATGAAGAGGTAATGAAACAAAGAATAGCTGAAGAAACTAAACGTTTAATGAGGCGTACTTTTGCCCAAAACAAGAAGAAAAAAGGATAACAACAAAGCGTTGCAGGCGTCGAAGGTGGCGGAACAGCAGGACCGAACGCTGAGGCGAATCTGACTTTGGCTCGCCACGCGAAGCCCCTAAGTACACGCGTCCGCGTCTCGAATGATTGGCGTAGAAGGCTTGACGCGTAAAGCATTCGGACCTCGAACATGGAACAGGATTCTCGAATTCACCAGAACACTAAATTGCAGGAATACACCAAAGGTGCGTCGCTCCCGGGAGTCGAACTCCGGCTTTTCGTGTAAGAGACAGGCACAATACCTGTTAGGCCACGCGCGTGCAGCCTACTTGGCCAGCTGCGCGCGCTGCAATATGAAACAGAATGCTTCGTTCAGAACGGTGGAACGCTGGTTGTTATCAACACAAGCACCTGACTCATCCATTTTGGTTACCGCTGCATCAGGCATCTGGGAATTTAGCGCTTTCCAAAATTTTCTGGGGGTTCTTCGAGCATTGGCGGGAGTTGTATACAACAGAAAAAGTTCGCTTGGTTTCCTTGATTGTATGTTGATATTCATGCTTTGTTTTTATTTATTTATTTATTTGAAAATACTGCCAGCCACCTACAAGTTGGCCAAGGCAAGGGTGAGCATTGCTTGAGAAAAAATACAAGAAAAACATGACAGAAAAAAAGAGAACAACAGCAACACGATAATAAACAAAGGCAATACAGTAGCACCGTAGGAGATAGGAGACTGCTGGCAGGAGGTGTGCAACGTTGGCGGCTGCGTCATTTCCACGCGGTGAGGGTGCATGCCAGACTGTTGTCGCCAGCGGCAGATCGTCAGTCGTGCAGCTGATGTTCATTTCCGTCTTCGTTCCGACGAAAGATGGCACCAAGAGGGGGCCGAGCAGCGAAACCTGGACGATAAAATTGAACGAATTCTTTGGATGCATTGTCCAAGAGAGATCGCCGTGCCCACTCTAATATGTGTGATAATGTAATATGATTATATGTGTCCCATAGTCGCGCTGATCCAGACAACCGAGTCTTTCGAAATGCTCGCCTTCTTTTACCATTTAAGCGCTTTAGCTTGACATTGTACAATGGTGAAGATAAATTGCTTTTTTGTATTTATGGATAGCATGTATTGTTCAATGAGTTGGCGTATTTTATTTGCGAATAATTCCCAGTTTTCTTTAACAGAGCGTCCATCAGATTCATGTTCAAACGATGGAAGGAAATTACTTAATTATGTATTATTTGCATCGCATTAACTTTGCGGTAAGAGTTTAATTATTTTTTACTGTCAATACGGGTTTGAAGTGGGAAGGCGAAGGTGGCATGAA